AGTGAAAATTGCATGTATGTCCTCGCACGCACTTTTGTTCAATTCTGTATCTTGCATTCCAAGCTGCTATGTCTTGTGATTGGTTCTTGGCAGATGAAAACAGTCTTAATTTGCAATTCTGATTGTAGAGGCACATATATTTGAGGAAACGGCATCGAGAGAGGAAACTGGTTAATTAAAAGTCATTTGGGTTCATTTTAATAAACTTGTGTGTGTGTTCTGTGACATCAAGTCAGAACCGACTTACAGCAACCCTAATAGAGCTTTCAAGATAAGTGAGATATTTAAGGAGGAGTTTTATCAGTTTCACTCCCCCGGTGAGTTTCACTGACTGAGCAGGGATTCGAACCCCAGCTTCCTGAGTTCTAGTCTAACACTGTATCCACTACACCATACTGGGAATCCTGACCTTTTTTCGGGGTTTTCCAGGTAGAAAATACTCAGAAGTGGTTTACCATTCCCTTCTTCTGAGGGCATCCTGGAACTGTGCAGCTTGCCCAGCAGACAGAGTAGGATATTTGAACTCAACCACACAGGCTGGCTCTACTCGCAGGAAGCACAGTGGGGAAATCAAACTGCAACCCTCTGGCTCTGCAGTTAGAGACCTAAACTACTGAGCGATCCAACCAGCTTTAGTAAACCTACTAGAAGTAATTTCAGTTTGGGCACCTATTCACATGAAGGAAAGTAATACATAATAACGGCTAGTACTCCATTTCCAAGTAAATTTGTAATGGAATGTTCCATTTCATATCTGATTACACAAATAGTGCACAAATTATTGTTTTATTCTAGGAAATAATTATGGTACATCAGGCAGCAATTTGTTACAACTTCTGCAGGTATCTTTGAAAAGAGGGAAACCATGGATTTGGAATGTTAAGATGTGTGGGAATAGGTTTCTCCTATCCCTAAACAACGAGTATTATCTGGCTATGCCTATAACTTAAGCCACTATGCCTATAACTATGGCTATGCCTATAACTTATAAGTTATTGGCTATGCTTATAACTTAATGCCTATAACTTGAGCTGAGGTTCCAATACTTTGGCCATCTTATGAGAAGAGAAGACTTCCTAGAAAAGACGCTGATGTTAGGATAGTATGAAGGCAGGAGGAGAAGGGGACGACAGAGGATGAGATGGCTGGACAATGTCATCGAAGCGACCAACATGAATTTGACCCAACTCCGGGAGGCAGTGGAAGACAGGAGGGCCTGGCGTGCTCTGGTCCATGGGGTCACGAAGAGTTGGACACGACTAAACAACATAACTTAAGCCACAGCCACATTATGGAGTATCTTTTGCACCGTTTCTGAAGCTATCCAGATGAACATATTTCAGATGTGCCATCCAGTGCATGGCACTAAGCGCTGATTTTAGGACAACTGTGGTTTCTTTTATAGACTTGGATCCTAAACTAAGACAATCTGAAGAAGGAAAGTATTCTTCTTCCCTTATATCCATCTCCACTGCCTCCAAATATTTTCTCCGGAAGCTCAGGGAGCATTCCTGAATACTGCAGGATGGAGCAAGAGGGGCTGCTGCAGGAGGAGGGAATGTCTCCACATCAGACGGATGTCTGGAAAGGCTTTTCAAATGCCTGCAGCATGGCACTACCAGGCAGGAAGCTTTGCTTTCACCAGTTTCCAACTACCTTGTCTGCAGTCACTCTTAACCTCTTAACGGAGACGGACAAGATGGAGAGGCCAAATCTTGTCTGTAGGAAAGATGAATGCCTGGGATCCTCTAGAATTCTCATAACATTCACAATGATGTGCATATGTATAGATTTCAGCTTTTGTGATGAGATGTTCTCACATTCAGAACAAGAGGGGGAAAGCTTACAACAAAAGCTTTGGGAGAAAAATGCTTATATATTTAACCACACAATGATGCAGTCATTTCAAATGCTGTCATACTTTATTTCGGAGAGCAAGAATCGCTACAATCAAAATCTTTTAATAAATGAGCCATTATAAATTAGTTCTTTGTTTGCATTTACGCTAGCCAAAAATTATTGGAATCTAATACGTTCACTTGTAACTCTGATTATTTCCAAAGGAGGGCATTATGTAGTGTTACATTAAACCAATGGCTCCCAACCTTGGGTAACCGAGATGTTCTTGGACTGCAGTTCCTAGAAGCCTTCACCAGCTGGCTGAGTTTTCTGGGAGTTGTCCAAGAACAATTAGTCACCCAAGATTGGGAGCCACTGTAAATAAACAAATATTGAAGACATTAGGTTTTTGTATAGGAAACTAAATCAAGGGTCAGTTTCAACTTAAAGGTATCTTTTTTAATTTTAAAATCAGTATCAAATAAAACAATATCAAATCTACGTTACAATATAGCTTATTCTGCATAAGCTTGCTTTGCATTCTCAATAATATTAATGTGGTTAAGATGATATTAGATTCTTCAAAGCAACTTGGTACCAGATACATATGTGTAAGAGTGCAGAAATCCCAAATGCACAAATTTATCTCTAGCTTAATTGGGTAGCATTAATCTCTCTGCACACATCCCATATTTTTTTCCTCATCCCATTTCCTCCTAGTGAGCAAAGTAGCACAAAACTTTAAAACATCAGAAAGGGCTCAAATCTTCTGTGAGATAGTGATGAAAAGTCTACTAATAAACACAGGAGAAAGTACAGGAGAAAACACGACACATGCCAACACAGTGAAGATTTACAAAAAAGCACTCCAACAATGCAGCCTGGAATTATAAACTGTTACAGCAAGTACTCAAATTATTGATCTTTATTCAATAAGGAAATACAGTTGTTTATACACAGAGTCAAGATTAGAAATATAGTTGTAAAATGCTGGCCTGGACTAATCTGGAGCTATACTCCCATTGTGAAGAAGAAATGGACAAAACTCGTTTTGGTCATCAAGCAAAGAGTGAATGAACTGATGATAATGCTTATTAATGTATTAGATTAATATTTCTCTCATTTTAATAAACTTAGTTTAATTCTAGCACTAGCAGTCTTTAGAAGTTAATTAAATTAATATCCAAAGAATAGGTTTGGGTTTGTTCTTCACTTCTGGTGGATTTGTTTGTGCAAATGAACTGGGAAATAAAATGCAAATTTAATTTTAATATCAACAATTTCATGTGCACCTCCTTGAATGATAACCAGGCTAGAAGGAATTTCAATTGAATTGACTATCATGGGATTAAAGCTTCAATAATCATGATTAAAGCTACAGATCTTCACTGATAGCCAACCTACAGATGTAACCATCAGCCTCAGTGAAGTAAATACAGTAAATAGCATTCATTAAATTGATTGAGTCAACTTGTTGCCACTTAGTAGCTGTACGGAGACTCTTCATTTCTGATTATCTGTATGATCATGCCAGCAAACTAAAGGATGGGATGAGTATGAAAACATTTTGCTGATTGATTGATTGATCGATCGATTGTGTCCATCAGGCCAAGAGCCAGCAAAGACTTGTGAATTATATTGTGGTTAGAGATGGGCGCAAACCGCTGGTTTGACGGCTCATAATGATTCGTTCTTCAGATGTACAGGTATTCTGTAAGCACCCTAGCTTCCCTTCCCCACCTCCTCTGGCAGCTGCTCACTCAGAGGAGGAGGCAGGGCCGGGAAGTCTGTGATGTTGCCTTTTAATGGGTCCCTACTGGAGGAGGCAGGGAAGGGAGCCGGGGCACCCAGAGAACACTTGTGTGTCCAAAGAATGAACCATTATGATGACTACCGAACTGGCAGTTTGTGCCCATCTCTAATCGTGATTTATACCTGCATGCTTAGAGTTTCCTTCTTTAATTAAATCCACTTGAAAATATGTCATCAAAATAAAGCTAGGTATTTTACATCTAGCTGCATACAAAACATTCCCTTGATTTCAATGGATTTTATTGATATGTAATTTAAAGGAAGAGGGTAGCCATTGAGATTACTTTGACAAAACAAGTCAGCATGTGGGACATCATTAACTTTAATAAATTATTATTGGCTGCAGTGACAAGACACACAGTAAACTCATAAGAAATGAAAATCCATGCTTTCAGATAACAATACTGCTTTTCATTTTCAAACTCCAATTCCCAGGTTATAATTGATGATGCTCTATCTAGATAATCACACTGGATTAGTTTTATGCACTATACCCACATATGAAATTAGTTATATCTTTGTAAATATAAGGGAAGACCTGAGAGAAGAGTTTGTTTGTATTTAGAAAGTGGCAAAACACTCTTTGTAACCTATTTTATGAAACAGCACAAAAAAGGTGGGCAATTAATATTAACAATATAATTTTAAAAAAGAAAATAGAGAAATTACTTCACATTTAATATCCTAAAACCTATACTTATGCTTTCCATTGTAGTTTTACATCTCCGTTAAATTGAACAAAATATTTGATGTGTATATTTTACCTAAATATCCATAAATTGTAGTCTAGCATTGTTAAGCAAGTTTACACCCATTGATTTCAAGTGTTTTTATATGCTTAAATGTGTATTGGATTATGGTCATACATCTTTACACTAATGCAAACCAAATCTGTTAACTCTGATTTTCCCTTCTGAAGGGTAAATAGTGATATTTGAAATAACCTAGATTATATTTACAGCTGTACAGTATGAATATGCTTCTAAAAATACCTTTATAATACTTTATCAGAAATCTATAAATAGAGTAAGGCTTGAATTAGATTGAAAGATCAGTACCTCTTGAGGCAGATCTTAAACCTTGAACTTTGTCACAGTTCATGAATTCCTTAAGTGTTAGTTTTCTGAACATATTTCACATTCAGTATACAGTGGACCCTCTACTTAAGGAATTAATCCGTATTGGAACGGTGGCTGTAAATCGAAAAGTCTGTAGGTCGAATCTCCATTGACCTACAATGCATTGAAAACTGATTAATCCCACAACTGGCAGTTTTTATTCTATTTTTATTCCATTCTGGGTTTTTTCTGGTCTGTAGGTCGATTCTCTGGCTGCAAGTTGAATCTAAATTTTGCAGCCAGAGAGGTCTGTAACTCGAAAAGTCTGTAAGTCGAGCCGTCTGTAAGTCGAGGGTCCACTGTACCAAGTCCTAACAGGATGTTGGCCTGTTTGTTGGCGACAAGAGACCATTCACTTCAATGGAGCATGCCAAGGAAAACCTTCTAACAGATTACACGGCATGCCTGAATCTTGTTAGGCATCTGCTTGTTTGTTTTCTCACTCATCAACACATGGAAAAATATTTTTACATGATGGACATGCATAAAATCAGGTCTAGGTGATAAATATTGTAAATCTTTGGCGGGGACGGGGATGGAGACATCCATATTTGTCCAGATTTATGTGAAGAAGATTGCTAGAAAGTTAGTACCTCTTCAACCAGTGACTAACTTTCACACAAGGAAATCCAGAAATGGAGCACTGATCAGAATGAAACTTGGATCGCACCAGTTAATTGATGGCTAATCTAAGTACAGAATGGGGATAGATGAGTTATTTCTACACATTTTCTTTGTCAAATTCACAAACAAAATTCATGGTAATGTGGCAGGACACATCGTTCCACCCCCCTGAAGCTATCATTTCTACACAGTCCTCTTCATCATAAGCATTATTTGGTTCGCCATTGCTCCATTTGTTGAAGGTCTGCATAGGGGATCGGTCGGAGTAAACAAAACTGCCTTCCTTCTCTATGTCATTGATGCCGATGAAAACCCGGCTGAGGCCAGCTTGACTGATGTAAGAAGCAATGAGGCCATTGGTGCTTTCATCCTTGGGCATGCTCAGAGTCCCTCCTCTTCCTTGGCAGTAGAGCTGGGCATCCATATACCGTTTCTCTTCTTTCACCAACAGGTATGTCTTGTTATCTGTTTCACGCACACCAGCAACAGCTGCGGGGGAGGGCAGTGCTGAAAAGTGAGCACTCGCATTTCTATAAACCAACTCACTGCACACCACATAAGGCAGACCCAATCCACCACATACTGCAAAAACAGCAGTGTGTTTTTAAATGCTCTTGTTCCTAAGGAGGGGGAGAAGGTTTACACAGAGCCACTTACCTTTTTTAATGAACTTTAACTCCGTTGTCAGCAGCGACACTTGGTTATCCATTTTACCAATGGCAGTTCGCAGCTGCCCACATTCACAGGGAATGCCTGCAGAAATCTGTGTATAAGTGTACATGGGCATAGGCAAGACAGTTCTGCATTTCTAAGTTGCTTTATAGTAATCCAGAAGAGTGCCCATCTCACTGCTCTCCCCCATCAACGCCTTCTCACTAGGATTCCAAACCTCTCCCTGAAGCATACCTGTGATGTTCCACTACTGCTGCTCCAGAACCATTGGATCTGGTTGAAAGCTATAACTAGTAGGCAAGCCAGTGGGCTTTTTCCATGTCACTCCTTCCAAATACTGTATGGGCTCCCATTGGTATCAAAGCCCATTGTGTCCAGCAGCTATTGCAGCTATGATTTCAGTCCAACCACAGTAACAGCTGCTGTTATTTTTATATGTGTACAGCCAGGTCCATGCTAAAACTCCTCCATATACAGTAATCTCATACATGGCAGGAACTGAACACAGGGTCCATGCTAAAACTCCTCCATATAATCTCATACATGGCAGGAACTGAACACAATGGACTGCCATTCATCTAAATCTGCTATTAAGAGGTCCTGGTTACCTTTTCGTGAAGGTGGTATCAACTAAGCAGAAGTTTTCATACACAAAGCTGCTGAAAGATTTATCTTGGGGCAAGTTGTAAGGATCTTACACTGTTTACATGATTTCACCATCCCTATTACAAATGCTAGTTCCAACTACAGTAGACACACTGAACCAGCTGCTAAATGGCAAATCTCAATAATTCAATCACTCTGTTCTAATGAGGACTAGCAATTACACTTAGAGCAACAGCAGATCGATCTTAAATTACTGTTGATACTGTTTACCTGGATCTCCATTGGGACCAGGTGGGCCAACATCCCCATTATCTCCTTTTTCCCCTAGGAAAGGGAGGAAAAATAAAGTTATTCTCTGGAAATGGTGTAAGGCTACTTGCTTCTATTTGATGCTAACATACCTCCAACAGAATATTAACTTACGGGTGCATTACTGGGAAAGTAATACCCAATAAAATTAATTTTCTTTTCTCTCATATAAATGTGTTTTAGGATCACAATACAGCAAATATAGCCACACAGAACTAAAATCCATCACTTCATTAAGAAAATAAGTATCTGCCATGTAAACATAACACTTCATGCCAGTGAAAAGATGAAATTTAATCCAAGAAAGTTAATATTGAGATAAATATGTTAGCTTTTATGGTGCTACAAGACTCTTTGTTGTAACACAAAGTGTAACATGAGAAATGTTAACAATAATTTTATGACAAAACTGTTGAATTATATGTAACATTTCACATGCATAAAGCAAAGAGAGGTCTTCATTTCAAAGTAGCCCAACGCTAGAAAAAGGGACATTAATGAAGCTAACAACTGACATGTGAAGTTAAATCAGTCTACTTAGCTAACACAAAATGAAAGAACTTATCATTTATTTTATTCAAAATGATCCAAAATGTCCAGTATCAGAAATATCAGCAGACCTAGCTCCAGACTGGGTGGGAGGGCTAATCAGGCTGCATTCAGGGGCTTCTCCAACATGGCCCACTCGCCACAATGCTCATCATTCCCAAGGATTTCCCCTGCTTGCAGTGGTGGTGGTAGTGGTGCGTACCTGCTATTTTTATTGCTCCCGTCTGTGGGAAGAAGGGAATGAGGCAGCCAACAGTCTCCCCCTCGTGGACTTATCCCACCATCAATGAATACACAGGGAAGGTAACCACTAGTCTGTTTCTCAACAGTTTCTCACAAGTGGCAACAACTGCAGTACTATATTCGCAAAGGCTTTCCCGGCGGTATCTAATGGTTGTTGTGGGTTTTTCGGGCTCTTTGGCCGTGTTCTGAAGGTTGTTCTTCCTAACGTTTCGCCAGTCTCTGTGGCCGGCATCTTCAGAGGCAGGAGTCAGAACTCTTGAAGAATGCTTTCTCTCCTGTCCTCTGAAGATGCTGACCACAGAGACTGGTGAAACGTTAGGAAGAGCAACCTTCAGAACACGGCCAAAGAGCCTGAAAAACCCACAACAAACAACTGCAGTACTCTTAATAAACACATTAATGGATGAACAGTTAAATTGTTAACATCCCTTTTATTTACCTGCACATTATCATGTAGCTTCAGCAAATGGCTGCACTTGATGGCCCCTGAAAACCTTTCCAGACCTTATATATATATGCTGGTGTATGACAGCAGAAACATACCAAAAAGTTGCCCCATCATCGGAAGGACAGTACTCCTTAATAAGTTAAACTCCAGTGATGAATTAGTTTGCTTTTGTCTTGCAATTGGTCTTTGGGAACCAGGTACAGTTTTTGTGGGGAAGTGTGATTGCTCAGTCACAGAAGGTGAGCACAACCTGGAGTCCAGTTTCTGGAAGCTGGGAGGGGATTGTGGCTTCCACAATCTAAGGGCAATGTATCATCTCCTTCTCCCTTCAGAGGGAGTGGAATTCATATATGTGTCATTTAATGGTCATCATGGCATATAATTTTACATGTTGATTTTTTTTTCACAAAATGAAATTAAAAAAAAAACAAAGCAATCATTCATTGTGATGCCCAGCACATTTAAAACGCAACACATATAAGGAGAAAATATACCTTTTGAACCAATTGGACCAATTTTTCCATGGCGCCCTATGCTACCTTTTTGTCCTTTGTCTCCCATTTCTCCTGTTAAAAACAGAAAGAAAGTTTAAGAATGAAAATACATTTAAAACATACTTCCCCTACCAAATACTTGTTGTAATGTATCAGGCACTTTAGACGAGGTTTCTGACAGCTGTAGGGGACAGGTGGACCTGGGCACTTTAGAGGAGGTTTCTGACAGCTCTAGGGGACAGGTGGACCTTGTAATGAAGTGATGCCTAAAGGGTTTGATCGGGGGGAGGTGGATTTATGGATATTTATTGAATGAGTGTCTTGTGTTTGTCATGTCGTCTTTAGAATAAAGGACCGTACGTTGAAGCTGTTGTCATGTCTGGACCCACAACATAACAGGGCACTTTAGAGGAGGTTTCTGACAGCTCTAGGGGACAGGTGGACCTTGTAATGAAGTGATGCCTAAAGGGTTTGATCGGGGGGAGGTGGATTTATGGATATTTATTGAATGAGTGTCTTGTGTTTGTCATGTCGTCTTTAGAATAAAGGACCGTACGTTGAAGCTGTTGTCATGTCTGGACCCACAACATAACACTTGTCATATATTGAAGCCATGGGTCGTGTCTGGACCCACAAATGAATGCAAAACATAAAGAAATTAAAATTTATATCATCAAACATGAAATGATACCCAGTGTGGTACAGTGGGAACAGTGACTTACTAAGACCCAGTAGGCCTGGGTTCATATCCTTGCACAGCCATAGAAACTCATTGAGGCGTGTGTGGAAGTGGTCAAGCCACTCCTAAAATTATTTACCTACCTTGAAAACCCTATTAGAGTCACTATAAGCTGGCTGTCAGCTACAGTACATAACAAGAGCAGACATGAAACAGCTTTTGCAAGGCTCGAAAAAGGTACTGTTTTGGATTTGAACTCCTAGAATACCTCAACCCGCATTACCCCAGGACTGGGAGCCATAGCACCCATAATGATACAGTACATATATATTTCCAAGCTCTAATGCAGTGGTTCCCAGCCCAAATGTTCTTAAACCATAACTCTCAGAAGCCTTCACCACTAGCTATGGTGGCCAGGAGGATTTCTGGGAATTGTACTTCTGGTGTCTCAAGGTTGGGAACCCCTGCTCTCATGTTTTATTGCACCAAGCATGAACTGGTAGCAAAATGAATTTTAAGCAAAATTCTGTATTTTAACATTTTCAAGTAAAAGATTATTTAACGGCTGAACTTTAAATATTGTTACTTCTTTTACATGACAGTTCATACTTGCAATCCAAATCTGATGGGATCCAAAACTAGGAGTCGTTTCCTGAATAAAAAGCCACTGCTGAAGAGTTGGAGACATACCTATCAAATCTGACACCAAATCTCTCAAAGGGCAGACTTCATATTCATATGTAAGGAAAACCAACTTTCTTCTTCAGAATTAGGGCTAGAATTTTCTTTTAAAAGTCTCACCCTATATATTTAATTTAACTTCATAGTTGACATTTCTGGAAGGCATATTCCACATTAAAATCTGAATAATAATTTATTTCATTGCATGGCTGGGCAAAAGCAAGAGTACAATTTAGCCTGTAGACTGTATTAGACATTAGTGTAATTCTAATAAACTTATACACATTTTGGTAGATGAAACAATTTCTGGAGCCATTTGCACATAACAACCAGGAGTCAGTGATATGAAGGTGCGGGCAGCCTGTTTGTTCCCAATTTGCTGTCTTTTCATATACAGTAAAAGACTGAAAACAAGGTAGAGTCTTTGCCTGATAAAGGTAGGGAGGGACAGTTTTAATGACACCTAAATCATGGAACCCAATTGTTGTATTTAATTCCCAGAGATGCAGCACTATAAACCAGAAACAGACGTGGAAAGAATACACTAAATTCTCTCTTACATTCTCTCTTAACGGAGATTTGCAAATCATAACCCTGGAAAAGCGAAAAACTGACTTGCATTAAGCCTGTAGCGAACTTGTACAGCATGTGTTTTGTGTATAGCATTTTTTGTTTGTTTGTTTGTTTACATGGTAAATGACTGGGGTTGATTAACAGTGGGATGTGCAACGTGTGCCAAGAGTAACTGTTAAGACAGCTGAGAAGTGTGAAAGGATGTTTATGAAGGCGAACAGTGAGTTGACTGGTCTTGTACGACTCCTGGCTGGAGAAGTTCAGTTTTGTGTATAAGGGAGAGTACATGAGAGAGAGTTAGTGAGCGCTTTCAGTCAGAGCTGTGAATTAGAGTTTGGAAATTAAAATGAGCATGGTCTATTTTGAGAAGAGATTGTGAATAAAATGTGATCTGGTTACTGCTTGTGTTAAAACAAGTATCTATCTAAAGTAAAAGGTTATGGCGGCAGACTGAAGATGCTCTCAGCTGGAAATATTGCTTTTATGTCTTTTTTTTTTAGCCTGTTTGATGAATTTTTTTATTCCTCTGCATTTTTTAATATATATTTTTTTGTTCACAAACACCTTGTTTTACAGACAGCAATCACAAGATATTATACCCGCATACACTACAGATCACCATTTCCTTCTTTTGGAAAAAAAAGAAGAGAAATTATTTTAGGCAAAAATGGGGACACTCTGTAAAATCTGTGCTCATTTGGCATTAAGTGGCACCATCTGGTCCAAAGTGGGGGGAGGAACAAAGGCTCCATCTGGATGAGCCTTCAATGTATTTTTTTTCCCTAAATCCTGGCAGATGACAATAGTGGTTAGTGCTGGTGTAGATTTATTGCTAAACAACAGTTAAAGCTTAAAAGAGCAGGAGTAAATTTACACTAGAAAGAAAAGGATGGGTATGGAAGAATAATTACACTATGGACATTTACATTCATAAAGGAGCTCCAGAAAAAGTGAAGCAGTCTGTGTCATGAGGGCAGCATCAGTTTTGCCAAAGGGTAAGCAGGGAGCTACGTACATATTATCCAATGGCTAAAAGTAGCCCAAGCCCCTGTATATAGCACTGTGGCAAAATGAGCCACTTAATGAATGAAAAATAAATATGAACATTCTGGCAGAAATTAGACATAATAAATACTGTGAATACAGTTTCTGCATCTGGCTCGTCTCTCCCCCCCCCCACTTATTTAGTCAGACTTTCTATTACATATGCAGCAGAAGGAAGTTATCTTCATTCTTTGTATGTGAGTTTATCAAATGTTCTTACTCTGGATCATCGAAGACAAGCTGAAGAATAAAAAGTGCCAATTGTTGCCCTGTTTCCCTGAAAATAAGACCTAACCTGAAAATAAGCTCTAGTATGATTTTTCAAGATGCTCGTAATATAAGCCCTAAAGCAAAAATAAGCCCCAGTTAAGTGAACCCCCGCCCTCCACCATTGTGCAGCAACCAGAAGAAAACCAGAAGAAGGTGGAATGACTGTATTTATGTAGATTGTTGTACATGAAAAAAAAAGATAAAACATCCCCTGAAAATAAGCCCTAATGTGTTTTTTGGAGCAAAAATTAATATAAGACCCTGTCTTATTTTCGGGGAAACACAGTACAGTATCTCTTCTTTCTAGGTTCTGTTCCATAAAAATGGCCACTATTTTAGAAGCCAGAGGCTAGGACTACAGAGGCTAAGCCAGCTTTACATAAGAAGCTTAAGAGGAGATGCTACGTGGTCAGAAGCCTTCCGTAGCTTGTGGACACTCTTATGTCTGACCGGTGCTACAGTCAGCTGGGAAGCCATATTGCAGGAACCCCATTCCCAGTTTTCCTGTCTCTCTTCTGACAGACTCCATTGCAAACCGTGACAGAAAAAATAACGGACTGGAAAAAGAAAGAAAAAAAGGACAAAAGAATCTGAGATGACAAAAGACAAATGAACAAAACAATAGCCTGGACAGAAGACTGGAATGAGGCGGAACAAACATCACATTGTGTAGAAAAAAGGTTTAACTTGTCGCATCCCTGGGCTGAACCGGTTAGCTAGCTGCATTACTGACTACTGGTTACACAGCTGACAGAACACTTCACTCTAACCGTCCACTTCTGACAGACTCCATTGCAAACCCTGACAGAAAAAGAACGGACTGGAAAAAGAAAGAAAGAAAAAAAGGACAAAAGAATCTGAGAGAGAGAGGGAACGATTGGCTGCTCCTGAGTTGACTGACAGCAACCCCAGTCCAGCCAAGGGTCCTCCCAGCTAAAACTTCTCAAGGTTCCTCGTGTGCAGGTTGCAGAATATCCAACATGTGCATCTTGCTAAACCAACAGGAAATCCCATCCATGGCTTTCCTCAAAGAATCTTGGGCATTTCATGAAAGTGTGGAAAGGTCTCTGTTGAGAGAGACTCATCTGCTCTTCACAAAACTACAGTTTAAAGGGAGATATAACTGGTAAACTAGCTTAAATCTGTAGCTGCACATTCAGGAGGCAAAAGACTAATACAGATTTTGGCCTGGGTTTGCTAGTGAATTAGTGGATGAAATTCAGTTGTTGTAATTTATGCTGATGGTGTCAGCAGCAGCAGCAGTCATTTTTCAGAAATAAAACGTTTCCGACTACTTTCCTGAAGCTCCCAGGCCTCCCTTGTAATCCGTTTTACTTTTGGGAGCCTCTAGAGATGCAGTATGGCAAGGGGAAGTCTTTAATTACTGAAAACTGCCATGACGAGGATGACTTCACTACTAGCAGTGGTTTTCCTTAATTAAAGACCTTCTCCTTCCATCCCACAACTTTCCAACAATGAGAGATATTATACTGGAGTTTTAGGAGCTTTGAGAAAGAAGAATAAACATAATACAAGGACTGTTTATTGGGCCTAAGAGAGCCTATGTCAGAAACCTCAGTATATTTCAGGAAAGACAACCAGCCTATTAAGAAATTAACTGTGCTACATGGCCCTCTGACTACTTTATTCTAGTAGATAAACTTATACATCCAGCAACAAAATATCGCAGTCAAAAAGCCCACTGGTTCATACCTGGGAGGCATTTTCTAACATCTGGCTATCATGCAATATTAGCTTGCACCTACTTGTGTTACCAAGGCCACACTGTCACAAAACAATAGTTTCTATTGGTATGTGGAAGAAAAAAAGGGGGAAATGAGGACATTTTTGGTTCAAAGTAATATCTGCTGTAGAAGTGCACAGAGGCAACTGGGAGAAGAGAGGAATTGGTTGCCAGTTTCTAATCATGAGCATCATAAATTAAACAGCAATTGGGAATAAAGGAAAGAAGTAAATCTGAACTCCTGGACCTCTCCTAGCCCTCGTTAATATGTTGTGTCAGGCAGCTGCATCTGAGATTAAACAGCCATGTATTTAGCCCATAAATATAACTTTTGCTATATAAACACAATTAATTTGCTCCCTATGACTTTATGCCCTTTCTTGTAAACATCATACAGTACAAAACATTCAGCAACAGGAACCAGCACAAGGAAGTCTGTGTGCCGTACTCTGAAGTGACATTTTCACTTATCTCATAAACCAAGAAACGGAAATAATTATTGCCCTGATTATTTCACATACTGCTGCAAACTTTCCTTCACAGTATTCTTAATTTTAAAACAACAACAGTGGAGCAACATACGGCAGAGGAAAGAGCCATATTTCATAATCCTTTCCACTGCTGGATGGCTCAGTGGTTTAGGTCTCTGGCTGAGGAGCCAGAGGTTGGGAATTCAATTCCCGACTGTGCTTCCTTGACAAGGGCAGGACTTGATGATCCATAGGGTCCCTTCCAGCTCAGCGGTTCTAAGATTGTTATCTCTCTCTCTCTCTCTTTACATGAGATTTAATATGCTGTGGCCTAGAACCAGTTGTTAGTCAGGAAAGAAGACCCACTAAATTAATAGGATTCATTCCAGGATTGATTTACCATTCAGTGGCCAAAATCCTGTTCACACAGCTATGCCATAACTGTGTGAGCAGGATGTCAACCAGCAGTTGATTTTCAGTGGATGTGTTCTAGCTGGGAGTAGTAATTAGATTTAGACCTATCACACCGCAGGCTACTTTGCACATTCCTAAGCTAAGTCCATTTCTCTACACCAGCCTTCTCCATCTTGAATGTTTCAGATTTCAGCTCCCTCTGTTCCAGCCTATTGGCTTTGAAAAATAAGGCTCAAGAGAACTGAAGCCCAAAATATCTCAAAGGCACCATATTAGGGAAGACTACTTTGCTTTTCCCCCCACCTCAAAATGTGCAATAGAACCTTAAATTTAAAAAAAAGGGGGGGGGGAGAGGGAATGAGAAAGATTAATTATTATAAAAATTACTATTATTATTGTAAAAATAATAAAAACAGATATTATTAACCTGGGTTCATTTTCAGGTTTTCTTTGTTCCCCATTAATGTTTTCTAAACGGTCTTTCCAAAACTTTTGATATTGTCTTCATAATAAATAGCCCATATGTCTGTGCTGAGGAAATCATGGCCATTATTTTTTTGTCCCCCTCTGAATATCTGCCAAGGTATTTGATGTTGCCGTGGTGAACTGCTTGTTAGTCTGTATACGTGCCTATGTGAATACAATTCTTCCTTCGTTCACAGACATTAGAAGTGTGTGTGTGTGTGTGTGTGTGCGTGTAAATACAATTCTTCCTTTGTTCACAGACATTAGAAGTGTGTAAGTGTGTGTGTGTGTGTGTGTGTGCGCGTGTGTGTGTGTGTGTGTGTCTGTCTGTGTGTCTGTCTGTCTGTCTGTCTGGTGGTCCAGAAGAGCAGAAATAAAAAAATGCTTAAATAAACAGGCTTCTGGTGTATCACGGCTCGCTCTTTCCGTTCTCTTGGTGTACAACGGCCTCTTTTAGGGTATTTTTCAGAATACCACCAGCCACAATCCTGGGCTCACTGTGAGGGCTGCCTCATGACTTGGGAGTATCATGCAAAGGCACAAATGGTTAGTTCATTATTAATGTGTTTTTAACTGCCAGGGAAAGACACTTGAGGGATCTACCTCCTCAAGTGCCAAATTGACTTCGCTGGTATTCAATACTGTGCACTTTGACAAGAAGAGGAGGAAGCATTTACTCTTCTGCCTCAGGCAGCAAAATACCTCGGGCCAGCCCAAGCGGATTTCCTCTCCCCAAAGAGCTCTCCCCTTTGCATACCTTTACAATACAACCCTCTGTTTCTAGCCACCAAGAGTATAGACAGCAGATAAAAATCGCTACGAGCATCGTAGTTCCCTAAAAAACTCAGTGAAGATACACTCAAATAATCTCAAATAAATGCTGCAGCCTTGCTGAGCTGTTGTTTTTAAAAGCCAAGAATCTGAATTAGGTTGGATTTGACTGGCCTACAAACCTAGTTCAGCAGCTCTAGCAACAAGACACATGCAGAAAATCACTGCCAGAAAGCTTGTTATATGTGATTATTGGCCATCACTCATGACGAGGAAATGTAAAGCATCCAATTTGGTAAAGAAAAGCCAACGTAAGCTTTCCTCTTGAAGGGATGTTACCTTTTTCTCCTGGAGGTCCAACCCGTCCTGGTCGTCCTGGAGCACCTTTCTCTCCCTTTTCTCCGGCCTCCCCTATTACAGAGTCAAATGGAACACAAAATGAAAGCAACACGCTGAGCCACGTGGTGAAAATTACAACAGACCCCAATAGCTCCATCCTCCTGACCCTTCAAAAATGGCCAGGACATGACATCTCTAGCCCTATTCAAGTGTTATGTCTGAAAGCACAAGAAGGGTTAAATGGGTGGTGGATGCACACAAGTCAGTCTGGGGGACACCCAGCAGTCAATCAGACCTTATTGCAGTTAACCTAAATATCTCAGGAAAGGCCGGCAAGCATGCTCAACTGCAGGGGCTTACACAGAGCTCTGTGCCTTGCCAGGGTTTAAATGCTTTTAACCAAGCATGTTGACTTCAGAGTCTGGCCTCTGTGCAAAGGTCTGCCTGTCATTGTGTAGGAGACAGTGATTATGGGTGTCCCCACCACCATTCAGACCTCTCGCATCCTGTTTTGCTGAACAGGGCTTCAGTGTGGGTAGCTAAACAAGAAGCTACTCACAGGTGCAACTCTTGACTTTCAAATTTCACAGACTTTTAAGCTTTCAGAAGTAGGAAGATAAGATTTTATGCTGAAAAAGTAAAAAAGTTCAAATGATCAAAACTTGTCTATTTCCTACACCCGGAGACCTACTCTCTGCTGCTTGATCATGGGAGGAGAGCAAAAGGTCAAGGAGAGACTGAAAAAGCAGGTCAGGCTAACGAAATAACCAGTGAGCAAAAACAAGACACAAGTTGTTTGGTTCTACAGGATTTCTGTATCATACAGTCTGTGCCAGTGGTTCCCAACCATAGGTCCCTAAATCTTTTTGAATTAAAACTCCCAGAAGCCTTCACCACTAGCAGTGCTGGCCAGGATTTCTGGGAGCTGAAGTCCAAGAACATCTGAAGACCCAAGTTTGGGAACCACTGGTCTATGCAGTTACAGTACTTTAACGAGCACTTCAGGATCCCCAAGGGGTTGTAAATGCATTGCACATCTGTAGTACTACTCTTTTTCTGTGGGAAACCTTTACTGTTTCTGAAAACCACTGCATAGGAAATTCAGAAGCCAAGCTGGTGGGGTACAAACACCTAAGAGTCACCATGAAAAAAATTGAGCTAGTCTCCATCATACAGTAATACAGAATGAACGTTTTGAAATAACAACCCACTCTTTCTACCAAACCTGTCTTTCTCGAGGTCAGTGACATCATTACCCCTCATGACCACAGAACAACACCCAGAGATATGCACTTCCACCCAGATAATCAAACCATAATTAGTAAAATTTGGGCCAGAAACACTACATTGTGAAGATCCTGGGTAGAATTCATTTCTGGAAATAAGCAGGGTGGAATCACCTGGTCTCTTCCCAGAGATTGAAAAGTTAGCAAAAATGGATCAAAAGTTAGCTTTATTCTTAACAAACTTAAAAAGCTAATTAGGTTACATTTACATTGAAAATAGAGTGTTTAAACTGGCATTTAAGTTTATGTTACATTACAGTACTTACAGTACTAAACTATTTTTTAGTTTAGTGATGCAATAGCGGGCTTCATGGCGGAGTAGTTAAACTGCGCCATGAACTTTAAACTGCTGTACTGCAGCCAAAACTGTGCTCACGGCCTGGGGTTCAATCCCAGCTAGCCGACTGAAGGTTGACTCAGCCTTCTATCCTTCTGAGGTTGGTAAAACAAGTGGGGGGGGGGCGCAAGGTGCAGCCTGCATAATTTACTTATAAACTGCCCAAAGAGAGTGCTTGATGATATGGGGTGGTATACAAGCAGCACACTTTCCTTTTGCTTTTTAAAATCATAATTAAGTTGAAAAATCCTATCCTTAATTTCACTCCTCTACTCCTTTGCTCCTGTTTCGGGTTTTGGAGAGAAGCGAGAAACTGCGGGAGTAAAATTTCTTCCTCACACAACACCACCACCAACAAAAAACACCTTTTTTGCTTTCTGTTTCTCTCTCCATTACAAACACATCTCCTTTCTCTTCCTTTACTTTAAGACTTTTGAACAGGCTGAGCAATGCAGATCTTGGAAGAAATTGAGAGTTCATTGAGGAGGATGTCACCTAGCAACAGCTTTCTCTCTCTCCTCAGCGAAGTCACACCAGAAAAACAATTGGGGGGGGGGAAGAACTCTGTTAAAATAGACAGTAATTTGACAATTGAATTAGTGTCTATTTTAACTGAGTCCCCCCCCTCATTCATATTAGAAAATGCCCAATTTAACTTCATTGATTGTAGTATGTTAGTGCCCATCTCTGTCCCTTTACCTGCAGGAGGGGATCTCATTGCACTAACTTGGGTCAGGGGTTCAAGGATCTGCCCCGCCCCCTGCTGCGCATTCATCTCGCCATTCCCCTGTCATTTACTGTACTTGGCAAGCCGGCCGAGAGCACAGTGACGTTGGATGGCAGTTACAAGAGTCTTGCCAATTGTTGCACCAAACACTATTCAGCTGTAATTAATGAGGTTGTGTACATTCCCCTCAGTGCCTAGGAATCAGGAAGTGGCTGAAATGGGCCTCCTGACAGACCCCTGAGCAGTGGAGATGCCAGCAGCATCGGGGAAGCAGAGGACAGGTCACACACTAACGGGGGGCGGGGGGGAGGAACACCCAAGGCAGACAGACTGGAGCAGCAGATGGCCTGTGGTGGGTGAGAACTGTTACAGCAGAATGCGGCCCAGCTCAGTTGAGGGAGGGAGCACAATCTTGAAGTAGCCCTTGGAAGAATGAAGGAGGCAGAAGGAGGGGGCAGCAGCATGAAGCGTGGCATACCTCGCACTGTGAACAGAGTGTGCCGTTCTCTCTTACTTAAAGGGGACTTCAGGGAAGTCCCACAATGCTAGGTTGACCTTAAGGAAAATAGGTTTTTCTACAGATCCATGTTCCAGGCATAAGCAGTATGGACTGACAATGTCGCCTCGGCCTGAGACAACACACTCTCACTGGGCACATGTGTTGGCGGGCAAGACAGCAGTCCCATTGCCACCATGGCCAGACCTCCCCAAACAGATTCCTTCTGTCAAGAACCACCAGGATCAGGGAGGCCTGCTCTAACCACTGCCTGTCTTGGTGTGGGTGAAACCAGGAGGGCCATATGGCTGGGGGAAACTCCCTGCTCAGCACCCTCCCAATACTTTAGTCTTACCCTATTAAGAAGTCTTATGACGCTGTGGTTAAACTGCAGTACTGCAGAAGACTTTTTGTGACCTGAGTTCGATCTCATTGGGCTCGAGTAGCTGTCTCAATGCTGCTTCAGCCTTCCATCCTTCTGAGGTCAGTTAATTGAGGATCAAGCGCACTGGGGGGGGGGAGATGTGTAGCCTGCATAATTAAATATATACCCAGGTATATACGGGAGCCACAAAATGCAGCATCCATACCAGAATCAAAGAACATGAGAGACGCTGCGGACTAAAACAACTGGAAAAATCGGCAGTAGCTGAACATGCCCGGAAACAAGCTGGGCACGACATTCTCTTTCAAAATACTGAAGTACTGGAGAACACCAGCAATCATTAGGTTAGATTGCACAGGGAAGCCATTGAAATCCACAAACACCAACAGAGCTTCAACAAAAAAGAAGAAAGTTTAAAACTCAAGAAAGCCTGGCTCCCAGCACTGAAAAATACAGCCTGCAAAAGTCAATGAACTCTACCCAACCACAAGGGCCAGTGATCATTCCACACAAAAGACCAGCTAACGACACTCATCAATCACAGTGATAGATAATCTCTCCCCCTTATCACAACAATACACACACAACAAAAAACACGCTGATCACCATAATCACCCAATCTCCTGAACAGGACAAAAGGTGATCCCATAGCTATAAATACTCAACTATCCAAGCAAACTGCCCCAGAGTCCAGCAGAGTTCTGACTCCTGTCCTCTGAAGATGCCGGCCACAGAGACTGGCAAAACATTAGGAAGAAAAACCTTCAGAACACAGCCAAACAATCCAGAAAACCCACAACAACCATCGAATCCCGGCCGTGAAAGCCTTCAAGAATACAAATCAATTAAATGCTTGAGCCAGGAACAATACAAAGTAAACACATTGCTGGGTTCTTCCTGCTCTGTGTGACCCTTCAGTGCCTGCCAGACTTTCTTCACTAGCTGCTGGTGCTGCATGTGATGGAAAGATGTCTGGCAATACGCCCCTAACCGCACCCCCGTTGCTGCTTAATATCCATTGCCTGCTGTTAAATTTGGGTGTCCAAGAGGCTTTGCTAGAACATACTCCTCCTCCTTGCACAAGAAGGCAAAATTTTGCTTGCTGACCAGGGCCACGACTTCATGCTGGGAAAAACACTGAATCTCCCATCCACCTAGACTCTCCCCTCATTATAACCCCCCTTTACGCCAATCAAGCCCTGGAACACTGAGCTCACCTACCTAAAGATGACTGTCTGCCTGCTAAGGACCTGTGTCACACTCTCAAAGGTTTGGAGGACATGTGCCACTTGACCCATATGTGCATAAATACAGAATCTGTTAAATTAATATATCTATCGATAAAAAATGTTATTCCCCTGCATGATTTACCCCAGAGGGGCCTATACCTAATATATTTTCCTGCTGATTTATAATGTACTGTATTAATCTATGAATCTACAAGTCCTAAATCTTATTGCTTAATAAAGTCAACAATACACAACGATATGTAGAGAAAGTTAATGTAAGTTGAGGGTTCAGAAAAGCACACAAACTGCTGCAGTGCAGGCTTGCACCAGCGCATATCCTAATAAGAAATGCTCGGGGAATTCATAAGCATTTATGCCCAAACTTCAAATGGAAAAAAACAATGTGAAAAAATACCTTCTGGTGTCTGTGCCTGCTTCTAGATGTCATTGGTGCAGATAGACATCTTTTGCAGGTTTTGCTTTCACCAGAATCCTTCTCCCTTAGGAAGCTCATGGACACGCCAATCAATTATTATTACTGCTCGGGGCTATCAAATTTGAATTTGGATATATCCAGAAATGGCATTATTCGGTGAATTCCAAATAACAATAAAGCTGCCCGGTCTTACTTTTGTTAGTTTCCTTCAGCTAGTCCAGCATATAAAGTGATCTCTAGCCTTAAGAACTATAAAGTTTCTCATTGTTTCCATCCACAGAGGAGCTTGTATGCTCAGACAAGGATCGAAACAGATCTGGGTTTACTGTGAGGATCTGCATTTCTTTTCTTTTTCTTTTTTAAAGATGAAGGACTAAACGTTTCTAGTCTTCTTGCTGCCAGCAAATCTATGAACAGCTCTGGGTGCAGTCTAACACCATTGTGTCATCTGATAAATCCTGTTTAAACATTCTCTATACCTTCCATTACAACTGATGGCACAGTGTAGAGACTATGAGGGAGTTAAGATCAAGCCTCCTCCACTCTGTGATCTCAAATGTGTGCATGGGGTTTTTTTTGGGGGGGGGGGTTGCCGTAAGGTAAATGTCACCCCTTCGCATGGGTTTTGGAGTGCAGAAAACAGATATGCCTTAGTGGTGGTTCTGACAAGAATGCCCAAGTACTGTCTTCCTTTATATGAATGCTGCCTCAGTGGCAGGGCTACTGCAGATGCTCCCTTGTTAAATGAAGCAATAACAGCAAAGGTGCTTCACCTGCTGACAGCCCCCAGAAAAAGAAATATGGTTGCTCCACAGTTGTTGTTTAGTCGTTAAGTCGTGTCCAACTCTTCGTGGCCCCATGGACCAGAGCACGCCAGGGCCTCCTGTCTTCCACTGCCTCCCGGAGTTTGATCAAATTCATGTTGGTCGCTTCGATGACACTGTCCAGCCATCTCGTCCTCTGTCGTCCCCTTCTCCTCTTGCCTTCACACTTTCCCAACATCAGGGTCTTAGTACTGCTTCCATAGTACTAACACTCAAATCTTCACAAAAACAAAGGACGTGAGCTGGATTTCAGCCAACAGATGAAAGTCTCACTACCTCATTAGCTCTCTTCTACGCTAGCCGGCTACCCCCCTGACAGTTTAGATCAGGCACTGATGGCTTTTTAGAGATTTTACATTAGCTGCGGCCTTCACAGGCCATTTTGTGCTTCACTGAGTTTCTTCATCAATCTCCCTCACCATTATGATAATAGCTTCTAATTAGATAGGATATGCAGAAGCATGGACAGATTTGGGACATTTCCCCCCCTTCAGGCTTCCATTTTTTGTTTTATATCTCTGTGATCCTGATTACTTGATTAGAAAAAGAGAGAGAAATTATTACTGGAACTCATTAAACGGGAAAAAGTACATAGTAAACAACCATAATTCTTAGCTTTTATGTGACATATTCTAAGGAAGAAAATTTGGCGGAATGCATGTGGATTGTTCATGAGGTTGTTCATCTAGCGTATATTTCGATTTTTAAAACAGGGAAAGGAAGGTGGAGAATTTGGCATGCGTTCCTTAAGATCAAAAACAACATCAGAAAGACTGATGCCCCCCATCTACCTTATTTACACTCTGACTGATAGATAATTCCTTTATGTAAGCACAAAAAATAATCGTAAAGATAAAAAGCCATGGCAACATATGACAACCCTTTCCAAGGTTTTCTAGGTATAGAATGCTCCAAAGTGGTTTACCCTTCCCTTCTCCTGGGACACTCTGGAACTATGCAGCTTGCCCAAGGCTACGCAGGCTGGCTCTTCTCCTGGACAGCACACTGGGGAATGGAGTTCCCAACCTCTGGTTCTGACTCACTGAGCTATGTAGCCAGATAGGGACACACTTTATTTACTCTAATAAAACATAGGGACCAACATTAGTATGACGTGCCATTTTATTTTTTGAAAAGTGGCATTCCAGAATGGAAAGGCAGCCACAAGCAAGTTCAGAATCATGCTCACCACATTTCAAAACCTGGCAACAGAAAAGAAGGGAATCAAGTTTTGCTGCCCTTCATAAGATGTGAGGACTGAGCATGCCCTATTTGTCGTGACAAAAGCTAGCAGCCACACTGCACGGAGCCACCTTCTCCTGTCTTCGCCCTTCACCAGCAGAAGAGCTGTCATCCAGGGATATGGACCATTTTTCTTCACAGGGTAAATACAGAAGGTTTATTAGTTGTCTAGCTACGTTTATATGCTGCCTTCCCTCTGACAAGGTCAATGTGGTTCTTCGCCTTGCTTTGTCCTCACAACAGCCCTACAAGGTGTTTTAGGCTGAACGCTAGCGGAGTGTCTCTACTGCCAATGGGGCAGAGAATCCACTCTGGTCTAAATTACAGAAGCTATTCAACATGCTGAGTCCTAGCCCCAAAATAGGTCCAGCATTTTTTGTAGTTCCTTTGAAGTTCAGAACAAAACCCAAAATGGATTGATCACTCTACAGACATCAAGGTCATCAGCCTCCAGAGCTGGAAAAAAAGAGTGACTGTCATAAGGCTACCCAAAGAGTTCCATAGCTCAGTAGGGGCTGGATCCTGGATCCGGGCTTTCCGAGTGCCAACCCAGCCCCATATAACTACTGCACACAACTCTGACAGCGGCATGGCAGTACAAGGGATAACAAGGTGGCAATTAAGATGAAGAAGAATGCAGGTTGGCAGGAGCTCAGACAAGCGACGGGAGCTCACTCCATTGCGTGGATTCGATCTTACAACTGCTGGCCTTCTGACCTTGCAGCACAGAGGCTTCTGCAGTTTAACCCACAGCGCCACCACGTTCCTATTTCATGGTAAATGGACAACTCTAAATCACAGTAATGATTCTAAAGAGACTTTATCAAGGTTTGGGTGAAACAAACAAACAAAAAAGGTAATAGCTGATTACCTGTTAAGTTGAAGGCTTAACAGGTGATCAAAGTGACCCTTCCATCTCAAATCTATAATAAAGGTCTAAAAAAAATTAAACCATTCACAAAACATCTGTTCATCAATTAATGCAACAAGAGTGAGTAAGCAGTGGCAGGTGTCATTCTAAGCTAGGGAACAAAGCTGCTAATATAAATATCAGGTGGAAAAAAACTCTTTGAGACCCTCCCCCTCCTTCAGTTCTACGTGCTGTTCCATCCAAACTGGACAAAGTTTTGAGAAAATGTGAAATGATTGTTCTATTTCTGGGATAGTTCTTTTTCTAGAACTGGGGATTTTGGTGGGTACTAAGCTTGCAGTCATAAGAAATGTCTCAGAATCGGATCAATATGCAGGCAAGGGAGAGGGCTCACATTGAGTTGTGTCCTGTGCCCTCTGTATTGTGACCATTTAGAGCCTTCCGGAAGCCATGCCTGATACTCTGGCTGCATTAAAGACTCTGAATGAGGAAGCAGCAAAATTTTAGAAAGGCCAGTTTTCATACAGGCATAATCAATTTGTAGAAGGAATCTTTCACAATGTGTTTTAGTCAAAGTGGCTCACAAAAACAAAGAAATGCAATCATTAGAATTACTGTGACAATACATCATAAGAAACTCAATTACAATTCAGTTAAAACATGTGATAGTGTAGTTTAGAGAATGTAAATCTTTTAACTATTGATAGTCACCATAGGTAATAAAAATACAGTAAGGAGTCCTGTGTGCTACCTTAAGGATTAAAAAACTTATTATAGCATGGGCTTTTGTGGACACCTTGGGCTTTTTATCAGATGGATATAGCCTATGAGAAGATGATCCTGTAACAATGCATCAGGCAAGATCCTGTTTTGAGCAAACCGCTCATACTATGATCATGGCACAAGTGGTTTGATTTTAATGGAACTTATGCAAGATGGCCTCTAGGGCTCCCTCTGCACAAGTATAATTTGGCTATTCTTTAGAGGGGATCTCATCTTGTGTAAGGGCAATGCAGGAAATCCAGCATCATGGTAGTGGCAAGGGTTTCTGTTTTGCTCGTACACAATAGGATTCCAGCCTTCGTCTTTAAGGTGGCACAAGACCATAGAGAGGGCCACAACAGATTCACACCCCTACCCCTTTGGAATCATACATAGCAAACAAGAATACTGGTGTCTTCCTTGGTTGTAGGGAGAGATTTAGCCATTACCTTTGAGGCCTGGAACCAGAATCTGGACAGAGCAGGATTCTTCTGCAAGATGCTGAGCATATCCAGATCTCAACAGAGACAGGAAGGCAAGGCTAATTACAGAGGCAAAGAAAACCAGATCACTCTTCATAATGAGCTTGTCCCTTACTCCTAAAGGAAGGAATGAATAAACAGTTAATAGGAATTCCAGCAACTTCAATCATCTGAGGCAGTGTGCAGGCTTCTACAAATGCAATAGTCAAGTGCCTCCTACCTTGCAGTTTATTAAAGAAACCTTATACAGGTGAAAAGCATGAAAGAGCATCTGCAGAATTTTTTTCTGCCATTCGGTAATTTTTGCAGGTCAGCTCTACTAAGCATTCTTCACCTTCATCTGAGTGAGACTTTGGAAGGCAAAAAAGGAGATTATCTCAAACTTCCAAATTGTAACTAGCCATTCTGCTCCTTTGCCCAAAATAAGCTCAGACTCTCGGATGAGATGAAATGGAAGGCAAAGGTTACAGAGAACTCAGGGTCTCCAGGGGAAGAAGAAGAAGAAGAAGAGCGGGAACTCATGATCACAGGCCACCAACCCAAGAAGAAACTCTCCAGGCTGCATTGATCTGGAGGAAGAGGTTGGCATCCAGGCTCCAAGACCAATCAATGCCTGCGGTGGGAGAGGTCAGCTCACAGTTCCCCTCCGATCCCCTTGAGAGGCCCCTGACGCGAATTTTCAAAACCACTGGGAGAGTTCAACTAAGGGGAAAGAAAGCCGTTTCAGAAGAGATCCCAAGTACAAACAGATGGGCGGCCGGGGGGGGGGGAGAGATACCCTACTAAAAGACCAAATAAGGCTGCTTTTCCACTCAATGCCTTGTCAAGCAGCAGAAGAAAACAAGGGGGCAAGACCGTCCTGATTTGGAAATGCAAAATAAGTACATAACCCAGGAGCGTACAGATGGTTTCTAGTGACCTCCACTGAGTTCTATGGGACAAAGCATCCAACCAAAGAATGGAGGTTGGATCCACAGGGAGGACCAGAAGGGCCATCACTCTTTTTACTATCCCCTGGATTTATTTTTCTTTTCTTTCAAACAATGCCGGATTGTGCCATTTACCTGCTACACAATATTGCTGTGGACTGTCTTCCAGCAGGTACAACTATAGGGGGAGCAATACCTCCATAAACAATAATTCATATTAAATTTCAGTCCTTATGTTCTTACCATTTCAATAACATAAAGCGTCAGAGTTTCGAAATACAGTTTGGATAGCCAAAGTGTGGGGTGGGGTGCAGCAAAGTTAACTGGTCATATACTGCAGAAAACTCAAAAACTAATGGTCTGGCTTATCTTAAATACCCCACATTGCAGACAAGAGAAATTTCAATACTTGCCTACTGCATGAACAAACAAGGTTGAAAAGCAAACACTTGAAATTAAAGAGTCAAAATATAACAGCCATTACATCATGTAGTGGCCACCATCCTGTTTGTGGTGGCATCAAGTTACACCAGCATAAATCTGCCAGGTGTTATACCAGGCAATAGGGACTCACACAATCAAATTGCACAATCAGTTGTGTGTCCCTGCAGCAATAGGGACTCACACAATCGAATTGCACAATCAGTTGTGTGTCCCTGCATGGCCAACTATGCAATATGCTGGCAGAAGTGCTTCAGGAATAGTACCTCCGCTTCAGTGCTAGCGCAACTGTCATGCACAAAACTTTGAATTCTGTGTATGTAATTGCACAAAAGGATTTTACCCTTGTTGCTGATCCTGTGAGTGAGGGAGCACACAAACACAGATGTGCCTATGCATCTTTTCTAAGCACCAGCAGCAGCAACCTTCATTAGACTTACCAGAATAAAACAAGAGAGGAAACAGAACAAAACATCACAGGTGTCTGTGATCCATGGACTTTACAGCACAGTAGAATTAGAAGTATGCAAACGCAAAGGTTCCCCTTGACAATTTGTCCAGGCGTGTCCGACTCTAGGGGGCGGTGCCCATCCCCATTTCCAAGCTGTAGAGCCAGCATTGGAACATAGACAGTTTTTGTGGTCACGTGGCCAGTGCGACTAGACACAGAACGCCGTGACCTTCCCACCGAGGTGGTACCTATTTATCTACTCGCATTTACATGCTTTCAAACTGCTCATTTGGCAGGAGCTGGGACAAGCAACGGGAGCTCACTCCATTGCATGGATTAGAACTACTGATCTTTCGACCTTGCAGCCCAGAGGCTCTACAGCAGGGGTCTCAAACTCAATTTACCTGGGGGCCGCTGGAGGTAGAGTCTGGGTTTGTCTGGGCCGCATCAGATTTTCCGCCAAGCGGAGCAAGAGCCCCGAGGAAGCCGCCCAGGAGTTTCCTTAGCCCGGCTGGGGCTCCGAGGAGGAGGGGCGCACAAGCCCTCGTCGCCAGCCACAACCCCCTCCAGCTCCTTCATTATCACCACCACCAGCAGGACGAAGAAGCAGAGAAGGGAGGGAATGCCGGCGACTGCGTACCCGGGTGGGCACGACATAATTTTTTTTTTAAACCCTCACAGAATTACGTGGCCAAAGGAGAAAAGCCCCCATCGGTACCTGCGAAATTAAACAGAATGGGCCACCCCCCACAGGTGCATGCGCGCACACAAACATACACACACACGGAGGTCCAGCAACTTTCATCTGAAGGTCCCCCCCTCAAAAAAAAGGCACACTCAGCAGCAGCAGCTACCCCCACCAGGACAGGAGCAAACTGCGAGGCGAGCCCAGAGAGTCTCCAGAGCCACGGCAGCTGAAGCAGGATGAAGAGGAGGAGGAGGAGGAAGCACCGCCGGGTGCTGAGGCGGCTGCTGGCTGGGCTGGTGCTGGGGGTGCCGAGAAAGAAAGAGAGCTGCTTCCCTGGAAGAGGCGGCGGCAGCAGCCGCCGCTGCTGTTGGCGGCGCAGCTCGGGCGCTTGGGGAAAGGGGCCGGCAGCGCACCTTACTTGCCGGCTCTCCCGCAAGACAGTGCCTCTTGCACCCTCCATCCAAAAAGTGCACTCAGCAGCAGCAACTACCCCCACCATGACAGGCAGGCTGGCTGGCAAGCTGCAGTTCTGGATGGAGGGTACAAGAGGTGGTGTCTTGGGAGAGAGCCAGCGTAGCGAAGCAAGGCTTTTTTTTCTCTTGACAGCAGAGGACGTGTGGGCGCTTTGGGGGGGCAGGGAAGGCGGGGGCCACAAACTATCATCCGGCAGGCCGCGTAATAGCCTCCGGGCAGCATGTTTGAGACCCCTGCTCTGCAGTTTAACCCGCAATGTCACCATGTCCCTAATTAGAAGTATACCCAATTATAAAATGGATAAGCATACTTGGAGAAACAAGATTCATCTGTGTACCCAAAATATGAACAAGAAAACAAACAAAAAGGCTACTGCTGAAAGGGACAAAAATGGCTGCTGAAATGAACAGATGAGAGCACTAATCTTGGCAGGTAGGAGAGGGATTGGTGTATCAAAACCCAAAGCCACCACTTTTATTTTGGATGTCCCAGTTCTTTGATCTGAAATTTCTTTGGTCTGTACTGCATGCAACTCCTGTGAGGGTGACAGCTAATTCCTGATAAAACTTTGAATGTGGTAAGGCCTGCACTCTGCCACTCAGTTCTCAAGACCGAACTTTGATTTAAAGTCTTGATTTGACATATTACTTAACTTTTAAATCCCTTTCCAAATGCTTTTGTATGGAAAGCAGTGCTACTATCCTTGCAAGATTGCTAGACTTTTTATAATTTGAATCCAACAGGTAATTGAATAATCGGATAATTGAAGTAGAATCACCATGAGTGTCCGCTAGTGTCCCGTAGTGACTGGTGCCTAAGATGTTGGGTCAGGTAACAAGCAGCATGTTGACAGAAGATGGATGGCAAGAAGCAACTTCCACACCTTCCTTTCTGCATTGGTGTTATACCAACCAGCTGCTGCCTCCTCTTACAGCCAAACTATGCATTGTAGATAGCCCATAATTACAAGAGGGAATTCCTTAACAGCTGAAAGTGTTTGGAGCTTTTCTCCCTTCACACAGGTTGAGATATAGATATGCTGACAAAAGAACCAGGGACCTTAGCTATCATATTGGGTTTTTTTCCTCATAGCCCTTTCTAACCAAGGTAGCTGCTGTCTACAGTGGCTCCGAGTTTGAATCTAGAAATGGAGAGGTTACAATCTCTGACGTTATTGTGACAGTCTTTTAATCACATTCTCAAAGGGGTGTCCCACAAAAATAGTAGGGCCTAAGTGGCTCACATACTTGCAGGAATGTCGGCAAGTCTTTGGTTTGCATCCCAAATCTGAGTTTGAGTCTTCGGTACCGTGTCCCAAGTCCCTATCGAAAAATAAGATTCCCCCCCCCCAAAAAAGGGAGGGATGGATTGGTTCCAAGAAATGAGTTGAATCCGAGTCATTAAAAAAAGCACGCGTTGAGTCCCTGGCGCAACTTAAGTCTGCCTTGACAGCATGTCCTGCAACTGGAGTCTCCATCCCTGCATACTTGGATGTGGCCCAGTCACAAGTGTTTGTTGTGGAATTGTACAAAAGCCCCCCCCCCCGCGGCTGCATTTAGATGCCAGCAGGTAGGCAGACTTTAAGACTGTTGGGTTTATGGGGCGTGTGTGCTGAATTCCTGAATTCCTTTTGAGCTCAGCCATGTGCTTTGAGCACCCAAGCTGAAGAGACCTCTCAGTCCTTCCCCTCAAAAATCCTCTTGTCATTACAGTATTTCCCTCCCAGATTTCTCCAGTATAATTTGGTGCATGGAAGGGTGAGAGAGTGTCTTCTTTCTCTTGTTAAAGAAAGTCAGAAGTTGTTCTCTGTCCACTGCAAATGAACCACAGATACATCAGTAAATTCTGATCTGCTTTTTGCCCATCCCTGATTTAGACAATTCTCTCACATGCACAGGAGCTGCTCATGAATATACTGTATATAAATGGCTTGGGAAATATCGAAAGGCTATCTCAGGAGCCATCTAGGACTGAGAAATGGTTCTACTGTAAGGAGCCACTTACTGAGTTGTGCAAAGTCTTGAAAGGTTTTATGTAATCAGGCTGGTTTCCAGTTTAACTATGACGAGTACGCTCTTCCTTCCCACTTCTCCCTACTTTGGTTTCTACAATGTATTAATCCCATTATTTTTTTTTTGTTGGGAATAATAACAAAGGGGATCGAGTTGCAGGTTGTACATTTAAAATGACATAAGGGCCTACAAAATCAAACTCTTCAAAAACGTACCTTCTCGGTTTTCATTTTCCATGCCCTCCCTCTCTTCTACCATTCCCTTTCTTCGCCACACAACTTATTCATGTGGCTTTCCTTTCCTTTCCCAGGGCCAACACTACCATTGGGCAAAGTGAGGGACATGTGTCAGGCAGCAGATAATTTGGTATCATGAAATAAATGGCAACAGACTGTTCATTGCTTCTTTTGCAACGTCCATAGTCTAGTAAGCTTGGGAGCTTTCCAAACAGACTCTGAGCAATTAATATAGAATCTATCTGTGTGATCCACAGAGACCACAGAGGAGAAACAGGATTTTCTGCCTGCGATGTCAATAGGATTTGTTTGGCTTTCTTGGGTACTTTAGGGCAAGTGGAGTGCCATTCACTGGTCTACCTCAGAAAACATTGTCTTGGGCCACCTCTGTTATTTTTCTCTACTTTCATACTCCTCACACCCAGCCTTCTTCTTTCTCCACATGATTCTTTCCCATGTTCTCCCTTCTTTTTCCAATGTACCATTAACTGTATTGGTATCCCTTAGCTTTTATCTCCCAACCTTATACCACAACAGAATCCCTCTCCCACTGCCAAGGTTGTTCCCCCTTTTAATTTCTTTCACCATCCCTCATGGACTTTTTCAGCTTTGGCCTTCTCCCCAGCCCACCGCTACTCTTTCCAGGTCATTCGTTGCCTCCTTTGCATTGTTATAAGCTTTCCTACAAGCAGAGCTTGGTTTAAGGATTAATTTCAGGTGTCCATAGAAAAGTATATCTCCAGGAAACCTTCCAATGGTAGGGAAAATAGTATTTATTTATTTATTTATTTATTTATTTGATTTATACCCCGCCCATCTGGTCTAAAAGACCACTCTAGGCGGCTTCCAATATAGTAAAAACAGTGAAATAATACAAAAAACACAAACAATTACATAAATCATATTGTAATAAACAGAATACAACAATAGAATAGAAAATACATAAGGAGGGAATAAACAGAAAAGTCAGATATTACGGTAACTGGAGGGAAGGCCTGAATGTATAGCCATGTTTTTAATTGACTTTTAAAAGTGTCCAAAGTGGGGGCCGCGCAGATCTCAGGAGGGAGACGCGAGGAGCCACCGCCGAGAAGGCCCGGTTTCATGTCCTTTAGTAGGAAAATAGTACACCACAACTGAGAGGGAGTGCTTCTCCTTGGTATGGCATATTTACAACCAGCAGCCACTCACTAGAGGCAGGGCTTAAAGCTCAGAGACAAGATCTCAGGCTAGAATAAGCAGTATGATTTCTCTATTTACTATTGCCTGAAGAAAAGCTGGAAGGAAGAAGAAGACGGCAACAAAGGAAAAGCCTTCCTCATCTCATGCTTCCCTCTAGCCCCCCCATTCTAGCCTACGAAAGTCTCCATGACCCCTCTCCATTTTGTAAACTTTTATCCCCATGGACATTCCAATTCTTTCCTTCAGCACCTTGGCCAATATCACTGCATTGGTGCCATTCATTACTGCTCTAAGTAGGATTGTGCTATGTGCCAACATTCCAATTCTTTCCTTCTGCACCTTGGCCAATATCACTGCACTGGTGCCATTCATTTTAAAAGGTCTGCTCTAAGTAGGATTGTGCTATGTGCCATCAAGTCACAACAAACCAATGGCACCCTTAATTTGCTTCCAACTCTAATAGGGTTTTCAAGGTATGTGACCTATTTAAGGTGGTTTTACAAGTGCTATCCTCCCCACCCTGTGAGTTGTTATGATCAAGTGGGGATTTGAACTCAGGGTCTCCTGAGCCTTAGCCTATCATTCTGTCCACTAGACCACATCGAGTGTCATAAGTAGGACCACTCTTGCATTTTTTCCTTAATTTGCTTCCAACCCTAATAGGGTTTTCAAGGTATGTGACCTATTTAAGGTGGTTTTACAAGTGCTATCCTCCCCACCCTGTGAGTTGTTATGATCAAGTGGGGATTTGAACTCAGGGTCTCCTGAGCCTTAGCCTATCATTCTGTCCACTAGACCACATCGAGTGTCATAAGTAGGACCACTCTTGCATTTTTGCAATATAAAACTTTTCATTCCTCAGCCGCATGAGGAAGACTCACCATTTCTGCAATGATAGAAGGCAGTTCTGAGGGTTGGGAAGAGTGCATTTAGCATCCTAGTGCTATTCATCAAAATCAGTTAGCTAATCACAACAAAGAATGATACTTTTCTCTCCTTCCCCCCCCCAACAACTTCCCACTCCATGATCACTTCATTCTCCCCACAGTCTGCTGAGAGATACTCATTTGTAAACACCCTGCGGCATGTCTGCTATTTTAAAGCTGCTGAAACCAAAGCCAGAAAAACATAACAGTATACTACCCTGAAAGAAGAAAAAGAGTTGAAATCCATTCTGATGTTTAATATCTGATAAAATATAGAGATATGAATGATTCCTTCGTACCAGTCACAAAATCTAAACATCTGCTGTCGGGAACACGAGGATCTGCACTTCGTTTTCAACCAATTCCGTTAGAAAAGAATATTCTGCAGTTGTTGATCCCACATAAAAGCGGTCGCTCGTGTTCCACATTTCCCCGGAGTGAAGGATAAACGGGCCTGCTCTCTACCTGATTGGCTAGGACTTTTGGAAGCATCACCTTACCTTTATGACTGCTGAGAAAACAGACCCCGTGGAACAGCCTCTGCCCGGAGGGACGCCACACAAATGAACCACATTGCGACAATTTACAAAGGCCCGGTCGTTTAGTTTTTAATTTAAAGCAGCCTCCTGCTTCAGCATCCAGCAAATCCGACCCGGTTTGCCAGTGTTATCTATAAACAGCTTCCTGTTTGAAACAGCTCAGCTGTCCAGTCGGACAGTAATTAAGAACTAAATGTGTGGGAACGCTACAGCAGCGACCCATGATGTAAGCTGCTTCTTTTGGCAAGGCACTTTTTTGGGAATGCAGAATGCCTCTCTGTTCACAAGTCTCCTTCCCATGAAGAGGAGCCCACAGTTAACCATTTGGGGCCTGGGCTTCTGCAGTAACGTAAACAGGATCCCAGAAGACTCCAGTGACGGGAACAAAGGCTCTGTTTTCTTGCTGCAGCTTGCTGCCTGGGATATTTGGAAATAGAGCGGCGTGGTCTCATCAGATTGTAACACGCTGGAGAAACATCTTGCTTGCTAGCGTACAACAGGGCGAGTTCTGGACTGTGTCGCTCCAGACGGAGGTGAAAGAGTTGTGTTCTCCTTCACCAACACAGTCCTTGCAGAAACAGAAAACATGCGTAACAGAAAGGTTGCACATAACAGAAACGTTCAGGACAGATTTCTCCTCGTGGGTAGTTTACTTCGGGTGGTGAATCTGTGAGTTTTGTTTTGTTTTGATTTCACCATTACATGTGCAAGACTGAAATGGTGGTGTCCAGAATCCTGTTGCCTTAGGAATGGAGGAAGTCGCTTTATACAACCATTGGCTCATCGAGCCCAGTAATGGCAGCTCTGATTGGCTATGGTTCTCCCTGGACTTCGGCAGGATTCTATCCTAGCCCTGCCTGGGGGTTCCCTCCTCTGCTCACTAGGCCTGACCCTGCCTCACTTTGGACATTGAGGCAATAAAGACCTTGACTCAAAACAAGGCTGCACTCCAGGGACAATAGCTTTATAGAACAGGAGCGCTGAGTTACAATGCACTTTAAGATGGATGAATCCTAGTGCTACCTTCTAAAAGACGTTGTGCAACACTTTCACCTTTTCTTCTTTATGGGTTTTGTTGGTATGGTTTTGTTCTTGTGGAAAAAAGAGAAAGCAAATTGGGAAAACAGAAGGTCACGATTGCCCCTTCCCAAAAATCTGGTGCATAGGTAGGGAAATGACACGCTAAATCACTCGGGTGTAGGCAAACATACTTAATCATCTCACTAACTGTGAGGTTTCTATTAGGGTTGCTTCCTTCCATTTGTTATGCACCTTCCATTTTGACTGGAAGGTGCATAACAAGACCCATTTTATATATTCCATGCAACATGAAATATTATGCTACTACAGGGGCTGTGATGGGGCTAAGAAAGAACACATTCGTATAACCTTTAAGGGAAATGGCCTTGGGAAGCTGGATTCTATCCCAAGGCTCTTGAGTTGCCATCTAAAAATAAAGCATGAAGAATTGGGCAGAAAATATTCTTTTGACCCCAATAAACTATTATTAGAACCATGGATCAAATAAAGAATCTGTATTTGCGGTCCACCACCTCCACATTATTCCATCAAAGTACTGTCTCGACTATTCTCCCTCTTAAACCAAGAAACTCCCTACACCAAAATAAGCCTCACCCCAACCCTTCAGGGGATCTCAGCAGCTCCATCCCACCATAATGAAGACATCCACATTGTATCAGATGGGGTAACAGAAGTCAGTCTGTTGCAGCTAAAATGAGGACAGTCGCACATTAAAAACTGAAAAGTTCATTACAACATGAACTTTCATGGACTATTCCATTTAAACAGATATGTGGACTGTTACACACATTCATGCACTGGTTCACCCACAGAGGGAGGAACTGTAAAGAGTGAAGTCAAAAACCGCATGGAAAATGGAGGTGGTAACTGGGTATTGAGAACACAGTGAAATGAGAACACAAGACATTGTTTTGGCGAGCAGGTTAATACATATACTGTACAGTAGTAAATTCATTTCATATTGAACCAGAGTTAACCCCATTTACATCTCTGGGACCCAAAGATGTAGGCTTTTAAATGGAATTTAAGTGCAATACTGTATGTACTTTTCCACCCAAAAAACCATCTGTTTGGAAAATGTGCACAGAACACTCCGCACAAATGAAAAATACATAAGGATAGAACATGAGTTTTGATGCCTGGGCAAATGTTCTCAGCCCTACGGAGAACATGGGTGGAACAGGTTTAAAGGTTCAATTCGGACAACCTCAACATTTATGGAAGATTCATACAACCCCTAAGAACTATTTATAACTGTTGAGTGGCACTAAGCAAACCACAGCAGAGACATACACAAACAGGGAAGTAGATTTGTTGTGTACAGGGTTTATGTTATCTCTCTTGAAAGGTTAACTGGCCAGATAGCTCAGTGAGTTAGGTACGATTGGGAATTCAGTTTCCCACTGGACCTCCACGGACAACCAGTTCTACAAAGAAGCACAGGGATGTGTGTACACACATCTCCCCATTTGTCCTTTGTTTGAAACAAAATCAGCAGAGGACTTATTAAGTTGAAATGTTTTGCTAAAAAAAAAAAAAAAGGAAAGCGTGCTGCTTATATACCGCCCCATAGTACTTCAACCACTCTTTTGGTAGTTTACAAGTTAATTATGCAGGCTCCACATTCCCCCCCCCCCGCGAGCTGGGTACTCATTTTACCGACCTCAGAAGGATAGAAGGCTGAGTCAACCTTGAGCCGCTACCTGGGATTGAACCCCAGGTCATGCAGTTTTGGCTGCAGTACAGCAGTTTAACCACTGCGCCACGAGGTTCCATGTACATCCAAGTAGCCTCTTCAGTCTGGAGAGTTGGTAGGAGATCCCTGATGTATCCCCAAGTAGCCTCTTCAGAGTTGGTAGGAGATCCCTGATATATCTTCCATGTTGGTTTCACTTCCCCCTGGTCTGAACAGGCTTGTTAGATGGACAATGGACAGGGGGATTTATTCAACTTAATAAAGAAGTCCAGTTGCCATGACTCAACTTCCAGATAACCTCACCTGGATGACTGAGAATCTTCACAGATATAAAATCAGCAGAGGATTACAACCACTAGGTAATACCATTTTGGCTTTACTCTGACCTCAATTGGCTAAACCTAGTAAGTTTACTAAATTATCACCCAAATTCTCAGGTGGAAGACTCAAAAATTACCTGATTTAGCATTTGAAATTTTTCCTGATACTCAACCAAAATTTGGCTAACTGCTGCTTGAGCCTATTCTTGCATGTCCTGCACTCTGGGATCATCAAGAACAGATCATGCCTCTCCTCTGGATGATGATCGTTCAAGTACTGTATTTGAATAGTGCTATCATATTTCTCATTCATCTTTTCTCAAAGCTATTCTCCAATGTGGTGTAATAGTGTTCATGTGATGGACTAGGTGTCTGGAGAACAGGTCATGGAAACTCCTTGGTGTGGAATTGGTAAAACCACTAATTATCTCACTTACCCTGAAAGCCCTGTTGTGTGTATGCTATGACATCATATCAGAACCTTAGGAGGGCTTCCAAAGTAATGCTTTTATCAGTTCCACTCTGCCATGTGAGTTTCCAGGGTCACTGTAAGTCAGTTCTGACCTGACAGCACATAACAGACATTCTCAGTTCTTTCAGTTTTTCTTCATAGGTCTTGGTTTCCAGTCCCCTGAGCATCCTTGTCACCTTTTGCTGAACTTGCTCGTTTGTTGGCATCCTTAACATGTGGTATCCAGTACTGGACACAGTACTCAGGATGAAACCTAATCATTGCCAAATAGAGAACTAGTACTTCACAGGATTTGGAGACTAGTTAATGCAGCCTAAATTAGCACTTGCCTTTTTTGCAGCCACATCACACTGTTAGCTCATACTCTGCTTGTGATCTACAAGTCCAAGATCCTACTCACTTGTAGTATTGCTGAGCCAGATATTCCATATCTCGTAACTGTGTGATTTCTTTCTCCTAAATGTAGTACTCTGCACTTATCCCTGTTGAATTTCATTCTGTTTTCAACCCAGTACTCAAGCCTTGAGAAAAGATTGAGGAGACGGTAGCCAAATGAGGAGAGATATGGTAGCCTGTTCCACTAAGTCGCCACAGCATACACTATCTCCATTTCCAGGTGGAATTAAGCACTTTACTGTAGCTACAAGAGCAACAGCATCTTTGAGAACTTCAATTACAGTGGCAAAAAGGCCTAGGATCTTAAGATAAAATTGCCCAGACCTCTCATGTGCCAAGAATCAAATTACTGTATATCCTACAGATTCTTGATTTTGAGCCTAGAAGTTTTGTAAGGGCAGGGTAAGGTCAAAGGACAACTATGCAATGGGCTGTCGTCTGGCAGAATAGCAGGATTCCCAGAAGACTCATTAAATACTTGGGCTGCAAAGACTTTCCACAAAACCATCATGAAGTTTCCACGCGAGTTTCTAGATTAAGAATATCCTCAGTAGGCAATATACCATGATAGTACAAATGAGAAGAACATTTACCCCTTCATAGCCAAGGTTGCTTTATGTAGAAGATTCCATTATAATATTGTTTTTACCAATATCTTTGGACAGTTCCCACCAAAGCAACCTAAAAAAACACACCAGCCAGCTGGCTTTGAAGAGTTGCTTTTGGCGGGGTTGCTGGGAAAGACGACAAATTCACTTTGCATCAATCTCTCCCTCAGATATGAAAAAGCTTAAGTATTTTCATCATCCAGTGTGGAGAGGACAAAAAAAAACCCCAACCAACCAAACAAGGCCAAACAAAAATAAAATAGTGACAAATAACCCTTGAGCCAGAAATTAGACCAACTTCAAAATCCTTTTGCTTTAGAAGGCCTTTAAAAAACAAAACATTCCTAGAAAGAACAGAGCAAAGCCACATAGTGAGGCACATATTATTTTATGGAGTAAACTCTGGGTAGACTTCTGGCAGTCTCCTCATAATCATTCCAAATTCAAAGCTAAAATAAACAGGTGTAGTCAAGATCTGAGAAATGTGTGGAATGGCAGTTACAGTCCTAAATGTGTCCCACACATATATGAGATGGGAGATCATCAAATATGAATCAGCATTAAGCTCCGTATTTTACTGCAACACTGTACGTAATATCTGTGGCTACTTCATATCTTCATACACTGATGTTATCATACATTGATCAGATCATAAAAGTAAGGCCTTTGTAATTTTTCCAATTATTTACATTGGTCACAGGTAAACCTATGACCTGCGG